TTATTTCTTTCATTCCTTCACTCCACCGTAGTCTCGGAACACACAAGCTTCTCGACGTCAGACAGTAATTCTCTCAAAGAGCTTGGGAAAAAAAAGTTAGAATCACATGAAGTTTGAACACCCCAATGAATCCACCTGAAGATTCGGCACCCCAGCGTAACCCACTTGAAGTTTAAACACCCCATCGCTACCCAGTGTGTCTAATCTTCACGTGAACCCCAAAAAATACACACTAAGGTTACAAAAATAGAAAAGTGTGTACATTAAGTTAAAGAGATATTATTACATTGGATATTTCAATGTACTGTAGGTAATGTATGCTGAAGAGTGTGTGGTGGTCGTCCCCAGTGTGTTTATAAGAAAAACAAGATTCATCCATTTCCACAAAAATCCCGGGACCGCTGCCGAGTTGCATTGGATTTAGTTGAAAATGCCCAGTGCACACTTCCCGAGGGAGAAAAAATAGAGCAGTCAATCATCGTTTTCAGGAAATGTTTACATGACGGCTGCTGCTCCACGGGTGTATTATATGGACCTATTTCTGAAGTGACACATGGGACAAGGAATAATGTTTTGCACTCCTTATCGAAGCTGGGTAGTGTGTACTTCTGATAGTCTTTAGTCTGGCATTTCAATACATAGCTATTCTTATTTTTAATATGCATCGTTCAGTTCCTCTGGCTATGGCAAGTTTTAGAATTTATTTTATGTTACAAAAGTCCATGTTGGTGTCTGCCTGAATAATAACGTGACGGTGGACCTCAGTACTCACGTGAAGATCCACACACCCAGCTTAATCCGTCTGAAATTTGAGCTCCCGGTGGTCCCCAAGATGCCTAAACTTTATGAAATCTAAACTTTAACTTCCCCACAAATAAATTTTTCACAAATCATCCTCTCGTACTTTAGTTTCCAGCATTACTTCACCTAAAAAGACATTAAATTATCTACATAACATCACACACTCATCTAATTATCTCACGGCCACTCATACTACCACCAATTTTCCAGAACGCGTTACTTCAGCTAAAAACTCTTGACAGCCTTCATGTACAGTAATTTTAAGTATCCTAGGCAAGTCAGCTCTTCCCGCTAGGCACCACCATGTTCCCCTATTAACTACTTTCACTAAAATAGATATATATCACTGTTCATATTTCAGTCTTACATACAAAGACACGAGTTACGGCCAGTGAACCGCCCCAACACACTCAAACTCTCCACGCTGAAAAGGTTGACCAAGAAAGATGAGAAAATGCCTGACAGCGCGTGTGAAAGGAATTTATCGTCCAATTTGCAATACCTTTTTTTTTTATTGTTAACTTTCAAAAGCCGTATTTACTCCAGTATTGCTGCTGTACCTCGTTTAATAGTTAACTTTTGAACTGCATATTTATATTGCATTCATTGACACTTTTGCAATACTTTATTTTTATGATAATTTCTTTCCATTATCTACCTGTTTGTTGTATTTATTGACACTTTTCCTAGATCTCGTTTCATAATTCTTCGTAGTTTTGCATTTAAAAAAATTATTAATACTAGTTTTATACCTACTTTCGTGATTAACTTTTTGAAATAATATTCTGCATGTGTCAGTTTACTCTCTCTACTGAGCTGCAGTTACTGAATAATTAAATACTGGATGTATATAAAATCATAACATATTAGACAAAAAAATTATAATATATTCTATAAAATAATTATTAATGTTAGACAAACTAGACAGTTATTTCAGTGCTATTGTAGTGTTCCATGATCATTAATATACAGAAGATATGTTTATGTGTTACTGTTATTATGATAATTGTGTTGCTGAAATTTAATTAAAAATATGTAAAAAGTTTTATGCCCACGTTATCTTTACACTTTCATTTTGTCTATTTATCTGTCTTTTTTCACTTTTTCTCAAACTGTTTTATGTCTCTCTTATTTTCTTTTATATTTCTATTTTCTTTCTCATCTTTCTTAATCTTTTTCCTCTATATTTATTTCCTGAAACATTTAAAAAAAAAAATCTTAATTCTTTCTATCTATTTCTCTTCATCTTCTTTATTGTCTTTTATCCTCTGTTCCTATATGATTCCTCACGCCTTGTGTCTAATTTTTTAGAATCGTGTAGAAAAATAAACCGGGTGTGAGAGTAACACTGAGTGGTGTATCATGTACAGATATAGAGGGGGTGTATTCTTTGTAGCTATGTATGTATGTATGTATGTATGTATGTATGTATGTATGTATGTATGTATGTATGTATGTATGTATGTATGTATGTATGTATGTATGTATGTATGTATGTATGTATGTATGTATGTATGTATGTAAGGCGCCTGTGCTAACGTGTGTGTGCTTAAATGTATATGTGTGTGTTTGTGTGTGTAAGGGAGTGGCATAGAAAGGGGCGTATAGAACAGTATCAGTATAATAGGCAAGAGAGAGAGGGGGAGAGAAGAGGGGGTGGAGGAGAGAGAGGGAGAGGAGAAGGGGAGGAGGAAAGAGAGGGGTAGAATAAAGAGGAGAGAGAGAGGTGGTAGAATAGAGAGGAGGGAGAGGAAAGGGTAAGAGAGAGAGGGTGTAGGGGAGGGACAAAGAGAAGGCAGGAGTGGCGCGCCGTCACCCTATGTTTCCCGTTGAGTTTGTAAAGTTTGGTGAATGATATTTGGAAACTTCCCCAACAGATCCTCCTCCCCCCCCTCTGGTGTGTGTGTGTGTGTGTGTGTGTGTGTGTGTGTGTGTGTGTGTGTGTGTGTGTGTGTGTGTGTGTGTGTGTGTGTGTATAATATCCAGAGCTACTTCGATGGGTTTAAAGTGCACATGATCAAAATTTAATGTATGTGGAACTTAATTCATGAGAAGACATTAAGTTTTTACAGCTGTAAATTAATTGTGTTGTAATATACATAAACTAAACGATAAAATAAAATGAACTAAAACATTAATTAGGTCTTTAAAATTCTTGTTCAGTGGCCAGGTAAATGTTTAATGGGATTAGAGAGAGCCAACACGTCTCCAATACCAGGAAAGATCTCGCCATATTTTTTCCTCCACTATGACGGACGGACAGAGAAAACATTGGACGGAAGACTAACAGACAGACGAATAGATGGAAAGTAAATCGATTAGATAAGGATAATGACTAAACACACACACACACACACACACACACACACACACACACACACACACACACACACACACACACACACACACACACACACACACACCTGGGATACCTTTCGGGGGGTGGAGATTTAGCACTAATAAGGCTACTGTGGTTAGAATTTACCTGCTACACAGAACACAGATTACATTCCGCAGTTTTGGCAGAATTAGTGAATTTTGAGGAAGTGAGGTGAATGCCAGAAAATCACGGCTTCATGTTTACGCCCGTGGGGGAAGGTGAGTGGTGCAATACTGTGCTTCTACTGTAAGCGGATTATGGCTCTGTTTGTGAGGTTGATTTATGATGATACTGGTATTTTGTTGACCCTTGCGTAAATTATGACGATGGTGGTAAAGGTGGTAGATGTAGTTGTGGTGGTGGTAGAGATGGTGGTTGTGGTGCTGGGGGAAGTAGAGGTAGTGGTGGTGGTAGAGGTAGTGGTGGTAGTAGATGTGGTGGTGGTCGAGGTAATAGTGGGAATGGTTGGTGGTACTGGTGGTAGTATAGGGGGGGTAATGGTTGGTGGTAGGGGAGTAGTGGTTGTGGTGGTAGAGGGTAGTGGTAGGTGGTATATATAATCCTGCTACTGATGTTCTTCTTTTTGATGGTATTATTACACTCTACCATCACAAACAACGTCATTGGTGAACGCTATCATCATCGCCGTAGAGTGAAGGCAACGACGATAACAACAACACTAAAACCAAAAACAAAACAACAACAAAGTCAGCAAATTGGAAACTACTGCTATTGTTCGTACTATTACTAACAAACGCACCTACTATTACTGCTACTGCTACTTACGGTTACGGTACGCCTATATGGAGTTTCTGTTTTAAGTACCTAAGTTTTTAATTACCTCAAGGGCATACCGGAGAAGAATATTATTAAACAAAAACATTATCCCCATCAAAATGTAGTTACGAGGACATATACATATAATACTGCCAGGGAAGGAAATTAGTTCAAAATAGAGATGGTGGTGGAACAGAACCCAGCGGAACACCAACCTTGATGAGGGAATAAATGAAACAGAAGAGGGTATAATAAGGATGATGTGGAGTCTGTGAGATATACCAAAGTTGATCAGTAAGAAAATTAAAGATATAATATAAAAGGTAAGAGAAAAAGCCTAAAATAATTGTGTTAGTAGTAATAGTAAAATCTCCAGAAGACCAAGTTTGATCTAAAAAATTGAAGAGGCACATCCTTAATAAACAACAGAGATGGAAGAGTTATAAATAAAGAACTAATCTATGTTACAACACGGAGAGAACTACCAAATGAAAATAGCTTAGAGACCAAAGCCTCATGTCAGACTCTGTCAATGGTTATAGAAACGAGAGGAGAGATGGCAAAAGATTCACCCAAGGTTGGCAGTTAAGAACGACCAGACGTGAAAGAGAGGAAAAAGATTACTTGTCGATCGTGTCCTCGGGAAGCCATACTGGTGATGTGAGAGGAGGGAAGGAGCTCCAAGGTGGAAAATTATTTCCCACTCTCCAAGGGCTTTGAGAACCCTGAAGACTGCACCTATAACAATAATACTAGGAGGATGTGTGTGTGTGTGTGTGTGTGTGTGTGTATGTGTGTGTAAAACTATGCTTTAAAGCAAACGACCAAATAAAGCATTTTAAATTGTTTGTGCTTATGCATATCACGTACAACTACAATTTCATGCTCTCATCAATATACACGGACACAACTAGAATATATATATATATATATATATATATATATATATATATATATATATATATATATATATATATATATATATATATATATATATATATCGCAAATGGACCGTAAGATAAGCCCGTTGCACGACCTCCAGAGAGCCAGACTTTGATCAAGGGGAGATTATTGAGAGCTCAGAGATCAGTGCACCCAAATATCCTGCCTCGCCTTACAGCCTCCTCTCCTACATGTCCCAATACCCAAACTTCCAGGGCGGCGCTGCACGCTTCGGGGACGATGAAATGGGAGTTTCAAATCAACCTGATGTCTCCCTCAACTTTTCTGGAATACCACATGTCAAAAATGATGTTTGAAGTGCCAAAATATCTCCAGGGAGTCAGGAGGTAGGATGTGGGTGGGCGGGTTTAAGCCGGAATTACATGTTGGGTATTAGGAGATGGTGAGACCCGACGGTGTTTGGTTGTGTTGGTGGTGTTGGTGTTGGTGATGGTGGTGATGGTGGTGGTGGTGGTGTAAATGGTGGTGACGGTAGTGTTATTGGGGGAAGATATAGTGAGGTGTGGTGATAGAATTGGAAATGGTGAGGCGTGGTGGCGGTGGTAGTAAGGGTGTTCTGTTCACCTCCCCTTGAATATTTACTCGGTAAGATCATCTACTTTATACTACTCATTATTTTTTTATTTATTATTCAAACGTCATTCTCTATATTTCTTATTTCTCTTGTTCTCCAGCTAATCTCTCTCTCTCTCTCTTTCTCTCTCTCTCTCTCTCTCTCTCTCTCTCTCTCTCTCTCTCTCTCTCTCACAGAGCTTGGACCATTTCTCACAGTCAAGCCACAACTAAACTATAAACTCGCACTCCCCCGAAGCCATGAAACCCTTTAAAATCTCATCCCCCATAATCCAACTCCCTTACAAGCGCCGTCCTAAACGTACATACTTTGTCACGCTGGAGACCAAAAATTAATCTAGTCAGACAAAAGAGCATCACAAACACACACTCACACAGCTTCCTCGACTTGCCTTTATAACTCCACCAAGATGTGAAGGGAGATTTACGTCCGCCCGTTTAGTCTTCAAGTCACTAAATGATCTTTTGATTACATTCACCCGGGAGGTTATATGTACTGTCTCTCTGTGATGGCAGGCAAGTAGGTATCTGGCTCAGGGCGGGACGGAGGATGGGAAGGAAAGGATTCTTGGGTGGCAGGGTAGTGGAGGATGGGAAGGAAAGGATTCTTGGGTGGCAGGGAAGTGAAGGAGGGCAGTGGGAAGGATTTTTGGGTGGCAGGGTAGTGGAGGATGGCAGTGGAAAGGATTCAAGGATGGCAGTGGGAAGGATTCTAGGATGGCAGGGGAGTGGAGAAGATAAAATATGTTGTGTAAGGGAGAGAGATAAAATGAGAAAGATGGTGAGGATAGATCAACGGGTAAAAGGACAGAAGAAGTGGAGACGGAAAAGAAGATACAAGATAAGAGTAAAGAATTAGAGACAAAATGAGAAGAAGATGGATGGAAGACAGTCTAGAAATTTGGGATTAAGGAAGAATGTTTTAAGCATGAGGGTAGGACAAGAAAGTGTGTGTGTGTGTGTGTGTGTGTGTGTGTGTGTGTGTGTGTGTGTGTGTACTGTATAAAACACAAACAAAACGGATAATTATAAAAAAGCGGTTCAAGATCTGCTTATGTATTCTTAATGCATTATTTATGAGGAAAATCTGATGAAATCTAAATATATATCGAATCTCAGTAAAAAATTTGAATCTCTATCTCTCGCTGAATATGGGATCTCATTATCTCTAACCCTTTATATGGAGGATCAGAAGGCCTCTACGACGCCGGAGAAAGGATCTGCATCTCATTATTCACAATACTTATTAAGTAGTATTCCTTATATTCATCCACCGGCAGATCCTCTTCCATCCCTTACCGATGATAAAAAAAATCGACTCAACACTCTTCTGTATAGGGGATTCGAATCTAAACACCTATATACTTCATTGGGATTCAAACCTTCCCTTAGGACGAGTTCAGGGTATCTAAACCCATCTATACAGTGTCAGTGATCATCATAGAAGTTTTATTCAGGTCTTACATAAAAGAGTATATTATGGAGGGTGGACGAAGGACAGCCTCCCTCCTAGTGTGGCAGTTAGAGGGGTTTTAACCTATACATATACTAACGTGGCTTTAAGTTCAGATCCTGAGATGTAGTATAGGGCGGGAGGTCGTCTGGCCGCGTTGTGTAGAAGAGCAGAAATCGATTCTCTGAAATCTTTGCAAATTTAATCTCAGGGCGATTTTCATGGCTAATTGTCAATCTGTTCTCTTTGGGCTCATTTCCGGGGTTAATGGAGGATGTAATTGCTTTGAAATATTTCCCTAAAATGCCACTAAACTGGATTGGGATTTGCGTGGAATTTATGGGACCAGAGAACAAAAAAACAGACTGTGGAAATTGTGGAAATTGGTAAATAAATCAAGATATAATGAGAGTTGGCGTAGTTGGCGTAGTTGGCGTAGTTGGCGTAGAGTATAAGGTAGTGAGTCAGGTGTGCTATGTTTCCTTATACCTTTACCGCCTCCTCCTCTGACGCCGTGGCTCCCTAAGTCACAGTAACATATGGCGTTTCCTACATACTGAAGATGACACACACACACACACACACACACACACACACACACACACACACACACACACACACTTTTCCTCTTCATTCCTACAACTGAACACTTTCTACCTTATCTTTACCACCTGACACCTCCTACCCCTCACCTTCCCTCAACACTCCTGCCACAGTTTCACCCTTTCCCTTGATAATCCTCTCTCTCAGATACACAACCCAACTTTAAATCCCAGATCACACGCCACCTCCCTCGAATCAGTAGCTGAGGAGATGGGCGTGGGAAGGGCGTTATGGGCGTAGGAGGAGGCGTGCGATTGGTGTGAGGATGGGTGTAGGAAGGGCGTGGCGATGGGCGTAGGAAGGGCGTGGTGATGGGCGTAGGAAGGGCGTGGCGATGGGTGTGGCGTAGGGCGTGGCGATGGGTGTAGACGTGAGGGTAAGAAGAGGTGGAGAAATAGGTGAAAGAAGAGAAGGAGAGAGGAAGAGCCATAGGAGGAAAAGAGGGAAGAGGAGGCAGAAATAGGAAGAGGAGACGGAGGAAATAGGAGGAGGAGGAGGAGGAAATAGGAGGAGAAGGAGGAAGTCCAATGCTATCAGCGTGGTGCACTAACTCCGGGTTATGGCAGGCAGAGGTTCACAACGAGCGGCAGGAGAGTATTTACCTCCTCGACCCACACTGTGCGACCTGGACCTAGCACCCTCATGGCCCTACCTGCGTGAGGGTAAGAAGAGGTGGAGAAATAGGTGAAAGAAGAGAAGGAGAGAGGAAGAGCCATAGGAGGAAAAGAGGGAAGAGGAGGCAGAAATAGGAAGAGGAGACGGAGGAAATAGGAGGAGGAGGAGGAGGAAATAGGAGGAGAAGGAGGAAGTCCAATGCTATCAGCGTGGTGCACTAACTCCGGGTTATGGCAGGCAGAGGTTCACAACGAGCGGCAGGAGAGTATTTACCTCCTCGACCCACACTGTGCGACCTGGACCTAGCACCCTCATGGCCCTACCTGCCATACCCGGGCAACTTTCCGCCATGGTGCCATTTAACTCTTACATCACATCCAGGTAACTGTGTACTGTGTTGCCATTTAACGTGTGTGTGTGTGTGTGTGTGTGTGTGTGTGTGTACGAAAATTCTTACCTACTGGAGTGTACGTTATATAAAGTGTATGAGTTTCAGCGGGTGTATGTTAGGTGTATACATCAAGGAAATGCCAACACATACACAATTAATTCTATATCTAAGTTACATTACACTGTTTGTCTGTTTTCCTCACCACTGCAGCAAACAGTGAGAGACGTCTGTCAGAAATGGTAACCCTGACATTTTCCACAGCACAAATTATTAAAACATCATCACTAAACCAAGGCGTCATTCCCTTACCAAAGATGGAAGATAATATGAATCAAAATGTGTTTTGAACTATTGGAGGTTATATATGGGAATAACACTCAGCTATAGGGAGCCTCACACACTGTTAGTTTCAGCTATAGGGAGCCTCACACACTGCTAGTTTCAGCTATAGGGAGCTTCACACACTGTTAGTTTCAGCTATAGGAAGCCTCACACACTGCTAGTTTCAGCTATAGGGAGCCTCACACACTGCTAGTTTCAGCTATAGGAAGCCTCACACACTGCTTGTTTCAGCTATAGGGAGCCTCACACACTGCTAGTTTCAGCTATAGGTAGCCTCACACACTGTTAGTTTCAGCTATAGGTAGCCTCACACACTGCTAGTTTCAGCTATAGGGAGCCTCACACACTGCTAGTTTCAGCTATAGGGAGCTTCACACACTGTTAGTTTCAGCTATAGGAAGCCTCACACACTGCTAGTTTCAGCTATAGGGAGCCTCACACACTGCTAGTTTCAGCTATAGGAAGCCTCACACACTGCTTGTTTCAGCTATAGGGAGCCTCACACACTGCTAGTTTCAGCTATAGGTAGCCTCACACACCTGCTAGTTTCAGCCATAGGAAGCCTCACACACTGCTAGTTTCAGTTATAGGGAGCCTCACACACTGCTAGTTTCAGCTATAGGTAGCCTCACACACTGCTAGTTTCAGCTGTAGGGAGCCTCACACACTGTTAGTTTCAGCTAAAGGTAGCCTCACACACTGCTAGTTTCAGCTATAGGGAGCCTCACACAATGCTAGTTTCAGCTATAGGCAGGCAGAAGTTCGACAAAATACAATAGTAACAAAAATGCCCTCCAAGATGTCTTCGTGGTGGTACTCGTCACAACATTGGAAACTCTTCTGGCAAGGTCATTATTGGTGGTTTTGGGTGGTTTTTCCTGCACCTAGTCGGAGGTATAGTGTGTTACAGTATTACACCCAGCACACATGATGATAGGAGTATTTCATCTGGCACTGCACCTGGCTTACAGAAGTGGTTGCCATCTGTTCAGGGGCTAAGTAGGACCTGGCTCTGAATGTGAGTCTAAGCTTCATTGTTTGCAGTTTTGTTGAGAGATCTGACGATGACGCTGTGCAATACTACATCATCATCATCATCATCATCATAACAGTAATACACTATAATGTGATCAAAACACTAAATAAAATGTCAATATCTTTTGTCTGTCAACAATATTTACTTGTAATTCTCCTTCTGTGTTAATATTCCCAGCAACTGTGAGCAATCAGAGGCCAACACCATCGTCAACACACACCTAACCTAACCTGAGGACTTAAAGAGTTACATCCATTTAATGTTCTGTTGTTCTTCTTGTTCA